GGGGGGGGGGGGGGTACACTGCCGCAATTGGCACGAAGAGGTCCTGCATTGGGAGTTGCTGTGGACTCCACAGTGTCGAGAAGAAGCAAACAAGCAACTCAATCGACTCAAAATGCGGAGAATAATATTCGAGCAGTCTATCAAGATGTAACGCTGATCTGCATTGCGCTTTGAAGCTAGTCTACGCAGGCAGGATGTTAGTGTTGATGTTCGCTTTGCCTGTCACGATGGTGCCAGCCGCGACACCTTTACTGCGCCTATTCAAATATGTCAACGCCAAGGCTGGGTCACTGAGCTTCTTCATTTTTGGCAAGATCTCCTTCTCAGTGTACACGTCCCACTTCTTGAACATCTTCCTCATGAACGTTTCGTCTTGCAGCATCGCCTGCACGTATTTCTTGGAGAAGTCCGCTCGGATCTTCTCGGTGACGATGGGGGTCTGGGGAACCTTCTCCAAGTTTGTGGGAGCCTTTTTAAGCTTCGTTAATTCAAGTAGGCTCTTCAAGCCTATCCACCGCTCTTCATCGTCGATACTCGTGGTATCGCGGCCCCTCCTATCGTTGTCGATGTCGATGTCGATGTCGTTGTCGATGTCGTTGTCGATCAAGTTCTGGGTCCTCAATACCTTGGTAGCTGGTGACGTCGCATCACACTCGCGACTTACAAGAAGCGCCGATACAGCGACTGACAGGAGGGAGCCTAGACGCATGCGGGTCTGTGCAACTGGAACACTCGAGTCGTGGAAGGCAAATTGCCAAGTGAATCGCTCCCTCCTATCGGATCAGTTTACAGCACCACAGCCGATCTGAATCTCGATCAAGTACGCATCCCATGTGGTTTCTTACCTGTACTTATTAAGTGCACTGCACTGCTTCGCTTTGCAATTGCACAGGTAAGCTTACTGAGAAAAGGACTACCATCGCCGAAACACACTCACCCCTCACTCTATGCAGCTGCAGAAGGCGCCGTTTCATCCCTCACTTCAGAGCTGTCACCGCCACTCACGGCACCTTTGTCGTCCTTACTGAGTCCATTCAGGAACTGCTTCGCTGCAAACGCTGCCATCTTCTGGACGCCAACGCGAGCGTACGGCAACACATAGGCTGGGATGACCATGAAAACATGTGGCACGCCTTCATGCACGTCCACTTCCCAATTCGAAACACCGTCCGCTTTGGCCTTGGCCTCGAGACGCAGTGAGTGCTTGAACAGAGCGTCGAGTTCTGCAGCTTGGAGGAACACGGGTGGAAGTCCTTGTAAATCGCAGTGCACGGGCGAAGCATCGGCCCACGTGCTGGGGTCGTCCCGCGTCGGGTGGTACGACAGCACACTCGCAGCCGTCATGTTGAGCGACAGCACGCAGTGCTCGCCCGAGGCTTCGTCTTCGTCCCCAGTGAGATCCGCCAGTGGACACGCGACGATCGCCGCCAACGGCAGCGGCAGCGTCGACTTCCAGCTGGAGAGCCCGTCGCGGACTCGCAATAGCGTCGACATGACGAGCCCCCCGCCAGCGCTGTCCCCCGCCAAAATGATCTGCGATGGCTGCAGCTTCTCGTGCTGCAGCAAGTACTCGTACATGGCCACGGCGTCTTCCGCCGGCACCGGGAACTGGTGCTCCGGCAGCTTGCGGTAGTTCGCCAGGAACACGTCCACCGCAACGTCCTCCTCAGCAGCTCCTAGAGACGCCAGCTCCTGCTTGATGGCGCCCGCCAGCACACTGCAGAACGAGATGTACATCCTCGGACTGAGTACCGCATAGCCCCCGCCATGGAAGAAGAGCACCACGAGGCGCTTACGGCCGCGACAGCCGAGAGCGACGCCAGACGATTTGAGCCAGATGTGCTCGAGTCCGTTGAGTCGCACGCTCTCGAGGCGCAGACCGTGCTGCCAGCGCGCGAACCAGCCCACGGCCGTCCCGAACGCGGCTGTGTGACGGCGGATGACGCGCGCGTGCCGCACGTCCGTGATCCGCTCGCCGAACCGCTCGGCGGCGCTGCGCATCAGTCCGTGCAGCAGCTCGTAGCGCAGCGTCCACTTGGGGAACTTTGGCTTGAAGCCCCTAGCGACGTACTGCGCCGTGACTCGACACAGTCTGCAGGAGATCACGGCCAGCAGCTGAGCTGTCTCCAGCGGAGTCCGGCAGAAGCCCCGGGACGCCTCCAGCACGAACAGCAGAGCGACGACGCCGCTGCATCCGCTGAAGACCCAGCACAGGAACTTGCCACGACGGTCCGGGTCTGCCCAAAGGCGGAGAAACGGCCCCAGCAGTGCCGAGAGAGCTGAGTGACGGTGCTTCGCTGTCGCCAAGACGGAGGAGCTCACCATTGCCTTGCGAATGGAGAAGTGCTCGCCATCAACCATTTGAGGTCATTTGACACGTCGGATCCGAGCGGTCGGATGGAAGTGGACCTTGTCGTGTAGCCATCGGTTTGTCAAGTGTATGCGTTTGTAAGGATTCCAAATACGCCGTATGAAGTGGGTAGCGCTGTATTAAGGGCAGATACGGTACAAGAGGTATAGAAATCGAAAGGTACATGTTGAAGTTGGCGGAGGCATCAGCCAATGAGATGGCTGCACGTTCTCGTCGTGGATGCCCTCGACGTGCTTGCTGGTCTGCCAGACCATGAAGGACGAGATCTGCCTGTCAATCCCGTCGAGCGCAAACTTTGCGGGGAAATTCGTCTCCGCTGTGTCTTTGTCCGTGTAGAAGGCGATGAAGGACTGGTTGCCAGCGAAGCTCCCGGTCTGCGGCAAGCCCCGCCACTGCGCGGACGACACCTTGTCGTCGAAGATGCCCATGTTGATGCAGTACTGTGAGTCGCTGAAGTTGTACTGGTAGACCCAGTGGCCGCTGGAGACGCCGAAGCCTGCGTCCACGAAGAAGTGGACCGACGCCGCCTTCAAGGCGATGGACATACACAGAACCATCGCCAGCACGGCGAGTAGCACCAGATGCAACGCCATCACGCTCTTCAAAGCTCGGCAAAGTAGATTGGAAAATGGTCGGTCGGTCGGTCGGTCGATCGGTCGGTCCGTGTCTTTAGTTTGGTGAAGACGCCATCCAAGGTCCGTCGAACTTGCTATCAAGTGGAGAACCACCCAAACACATGGACCACGATGATCAACTCGCTGCAATTGTATCAATCAACGAAAGAGCAAGCAAGGGAAACAACGGTCGTCCAGCTTATTTCTGAAGTCGAGATTGCAGGTCAATATATGTGAACTATACTTGGCCGTTGCTGGTGGCGCTACAGTTTTCGACTGATGCTGTCCAAGTGCCGCGTATTCATCGAGCTGTGGGAGGCTACGCAAGTGGAGCTCCATGGTCAGTACTCCGCGCAGCGTGTGCTTGCTTTAGCGGAATACGAGCAAGGAACTCATCTGGCACGCTCCGTCTTGGTGATGCTGGTCACTCCTTTGCCATGTTTGGTCATCACAATACTTATCGACATCCTCCCGCTTTCGGATCCGTCGGAGGGGATCGAGAACAACAACGCTTTCATGGTGCGCCAATACTACAACTACCTCCTGGTGACCTTCATAGCCATCCAGCAGATCCGAATCGGCGTGCCGTCACTACCATACAACAATGGGCATGTTTTGAGGGACACGATCGTGGTAGCGACACTGACCTTGGGGATATATTACGCAGTCACGCTGTCTGTTGGCTTCCCGCTGCCCTTCACAATTTTGGTGATGATGTCCCCGTGGTCTGTGTTGATTTCGCTCTGCTTGGCCATTCAGAGGGCGAGAGTTATTCGAGATACCCCCGGGGCAAGGGCAATGCTGTCTAGCATGTTCAAGTTGTGGATGTACGAGATTCTAATGGTCTTCATCTACCCTCCGTATTTTTACGTCTTCACGACCCTCTCCGATAAGGCCCAAGTGGGGTTCTCGCTGCTGCTTCCAATTATCAAAGTGTTGATGCGAAAACCTCTTCGCAAAGGCCGTTGCCCATCTAGGCGACGAAATCCCCGAGCTCGTGATTTTCAACGCAGACGTCTTCAGCTCTCTATTCGTGTCGTACTGCATGCAGAGCTCCCCGTCGTTTCGTACGACCATGGCGCTAATGCTCGCTGACATTTTGCAAATTGGCCTATCGCTGCGAGATATCCTGATTGCGCGTACTGGCTTGGCGGAATTAGAACACCTTGTGGACAAGAAGCAAATAAATATGTGCCGAAGCTCTGATGTTAACGAGAGCACAGTGGTGTCCGCATCGACAGCGCTAACACGAGTTAGCGCATGGATGAAGAAAGAGCAGCTGCAGTCAGAGATTGCACTGGATGCTCACTTCTCTCCAGTTTTCCCCGATCATGACTTCTTTTTGGCGTCAGATGATGTCTCCGGTACGGTTGCGGTAGATCAGAGAACGAATCGCGTCCACCCAATCGCGGAGGCAATTGAAGAAATCTCTCGAAAGCCCGTGCCGGGTATACGCTCAAGGCGCGACGACTGTTGCACATGGCAGAGTTTCTTCTCCTCCTCAATTACGTTGAGGTGGTTATTCCGCTCATCGTTTGTGAGTATTGCTCCGCATTTTTTTCGATGATCTAGAATTTGACGTTTGCAACTTTTTGTACTTCTAGCGCTCTACTTGTTTGCTACGTACCACCTGCCCAATCGGGAATATTATGCGGTGTTTGACGGGATGGACGAGACTTTGCTGCTCCAAACACTGAAGAATGTGATACTATACTGTCTACTTCAGCTTGTGTCGCTGATGGTGCTAATGCTGCTGCTGAGACGCATCCTGGGCCATTCACCGGCTCGACAGATATCGTTTGTTCTCGAAAAGCAGGTCGACTTGGTTCAGTTAAGTTTCGTGTTCTGGTTGTTTTACAACGCCGAGGCCTCACTGCAACATACAGGTGAATCTGCCTCTCAGAATTCTACGCCTTACGAGGAGACTCTAACTTTCACTTAATTTTTTGCAGGGTTTGACTACACATTCAAGTTCACTTGGTTGCCAGATCAAGAAATTTAGTAGTACTCCGACTTGACAAGGTAGCGTGCACATCTAACATTGTGTCCATAGAGACTAATTTGCCATGGGTTTCGACTAAAAGAAATTCAAAATCCACTACATGTAGATGTAGACTATGAAATTGACTCCGAAAACAAAGCTCGGCACACCGTAAGGGACTACCGCAGGCGTTATACTGTGATGGTAAATTGTGGTGGTTCCTGTCTCCCTACGACTCGAGACCATGATTTATTTGAAAAAGATTTTTTTTTATCCAAATGCCACGTTTGCTACAAATTTTTACTAAATCTTAGGTAAACAGATTATAAAAAAAACGTGGCATCACGAGCAGAAAAATGATGCCAACCCACCGCATCTGTATTAATTCTCTGAAATTTATTTCAGAGTTAAGGAGCAATTGGAATCCCTGGTCTGATTAATCCGGTAGCTCATACCTGACCAGCTGGATTCATCGGCATCTACACCTTTGCCCGGTCTAGCTAGGAATAAATTCAAGCAAAGTGAACATTTGTGGCGCTGTGAATCTTCAAACACACCCAGCAACTGGTGGCAGCCTGGCGCCAGGATGCGATCCAGTCTCTCAAGATTCTACTCAGGACGCTAGCAAGGTAAAGGGGAATCTGGCAGAATCCCAAGACTCAAACGGTATCAAACAAGAATCTCCGGTGCCCAGCACGATGGCTGGACTTCAAGGTGCATGGCTGGATCCCAAGACGCCAAGGTACCCAGTAAGTCGCCAAGAAGGGCTAGCAGCAGGGTGCGGAAGGATAGCTAGCGCCGCTTTCATGTTTTGCGTTGCTCTCAGAATTCAATTTGCTTTCTCAGTGCATTGGTCGTCATAAAGTTAACTTTGGCGAGTGCCAAGTTTCCAGCTGGACCAAGAATCGACCCGGGACCGCTCTACAAGTGGGAGAAGACTCAAGCCACGGATGCCGAGTTTCCGCGTCGACGCCGACGGGGACGTCGAGATGACGATCCTGCCGTCCGTGTACGAGCTGATCAGCGCGCCTGAGCTCGCGTCAAGGGACCAAGAATCGCTCGTCAAGTGGCTGCGTGAGCGCCGCCGCTATCGTGAGGCGATTGAAGAGCGCTGCCGCATCAGCCAAGAGCCAGTGGCCTCGGTGCTGCGGAGTGTGCGCGCTTCTGTGAAGCCGAAGCTGCTCGACTACCTGGCCCGCTACGTGTTCCGACAAGACCGCGACACGATTGGTTGACCAAGCGATCATGGACAAGATAAAGGAGCGAGTCGCCGAGGTGATGAACGGGCACATCCCGGACATCTTCGACTTCTTCAAGACCCACCTGAGAATGGACTTGAAGGAGCAGGACGTGGAGGCAAGGGTCGTCAAATACTTCGTCGACTTTGACCAGCTCCTCGAGGAGCACGGGTTTGCGTCCATGCTCGCGGCCGGTGGACGGACCGACCTGACTAC